TTTGTCTGGAAATGAACAGATGGGTCATCTGTACTGTTGCACTTTTGAGTCAACCCAAAAGAGAGTCTGACTGAAGGAAAGTCTCAATTGCCCTTTGTTGTTGGGGGAGGGGGGGGGTTGCTCTTTCACTTTCATTCTTATCTGCAAACTGGAGAATGAAGAAGAAAAGCACTGGCATGTCGAGTCCTGAACGGCTGAGGAAATAGCTGAACGTGTGCCAGTTTAGGAGTGCCAGTCTGTATACACTGCTGCATTTAGTCCTGGAACAAAATATCCTGCCACTTCCTTCCTGTCTGTTACAAGCTGGGAATCTTGCTGGGAACGTCACTCCCCTTCTGGCCTGGAATGCTGGTCTTGTTACCAAACTGTTCTTTCCTCCGTTAAACAAAACATGGAAAGCCTCCAGTGACCTAATGCAGGGTCAACAACCGGCCTGAGAGTACACTGTGTGCCGAGAGAGAGAGCAACTTCTGCTTGAGCAATGAAAGCACACGTAGCAGGCGTCTCACAGCAGCAACAGTTATTTGACAGAGGAATACTGTGACACATTCATACATATTAATAAGAGTTCCCCACCTTACTTACTCCATAACATTAAAGCTGTCCAGGTGAAGTGAACTGAAAATATAAACAAGGTTTTATTCTAAAGTCTGGAATAATTTCCTCACAGCATCTGTGAATAAACATCCCCTCGTTGTTTCAGTAAAAATATTGTGAAACACATCTACAAAGATATGACGGATCTGTGGAGCCTGACTTTCGCAAATTCTAGGAGCTAGCATCGCAAAATGGACACTACAACAACCTTTTTTGTCAGAGGAACCCCCACATGTCTATCATCGATCCCCCCCCATCATGTTCCAAATGTTTTTGTTTCCGACTGTTAAAGTAATTAAGTAATAAAGTACTTTAAGGGGGATGTTAAAGTAGCTACAAGGAATTTTCATTTTGTGTTGATTCTGGCGCCCCCTGTGGACAAACGTGGTAGTGTTTCCACCACCTCGTTTCGTCTGATGTCGAGGGGACTCCGACTGAATTTGACCTAATGCAGCAAGTGCTTCTTGCTCGTGGTCTTCTTTGCTTATAGCGGCATCAAATTGTTTCCTAACCAGTTAAAAACTCCTTGTTATACGTCTAAGTAACAACATAAAAGTTCAAGTGACGCCTCCAAGTACGTGTTCTTTCAAGGAGAGCATTTCTCAGAAAGTATTATCACAATTTAAACATACAGACCGAACAATGTGAAGAGGTGGCAGCACAGACATGATAGTGGGTCCAGAATGTCCCAGCTGATAAGCTTTCTATGAATATTGCATTATGGCCATCAGTCACAGAATAAAGTTTCAAACGACGCAATGACAGCTCACAGGGAACAGGACACGTCACCCAGTGGATTAAATGTGATCTGTGATAAGAATCCACACGCCACAAAGAGCTCTAGTTCAGAGTTGACCCCTTTGACCTATGATCTGTGACCATTTTAAAACTCTGGTTTAAAGCTATTTTCATACTCTGCATCCCATAACTCAGTACTGTTCAATAAACCAGCTCAAACCTTTGAAATGCTTGCTAACCTACGGCAGACATTTGTATAAAGAACGAACCCATAAGCTGGGGCAATACACACCCATAATATACTTAATATGTGCACGTGTAGCACCAGGACACTCAATTATAATCAAGCTGCCACCCATGGAGGAAGGCGGCCTACGGGATCATGAACGAGCCCAATCACTCCAGCTCCAAACTGTCCTACCTGCTGCCGGCATACATTGCACAATACATACATATTTATTTTATTACAAGCTGTTAAACCATCACAGTATGTACAGTATGTGTATTACCTGTCTACGTCCTGCTCTTACCAGTCCATAACTAGTTCTCATTAGGCATATAAATATACCACTGCACGACACCCAGTTTATTTTTTGCCACTACTACATCATCTACCACAGCATTATATATATATATAGCACTATTCTATGTCCTAGATTGTCTTCTCATCTCATTTACTTGCATGGCTTTTATGTATTTGGTATGAGCATTGTTGGAGGGAGCATGACAACAAGAATTTGAACAACAAAGAGTAAGGTGAGTGTGATACTGCGAAAAGAAGGACGGAATGTGGGAAGAATTTGCATTCAGTAATTTTTATCAATTTCTTCATTAATTGTTTATAAAATGGCCGTAGAGCCCAGTGCAAATAAGTATATATACACCTTATTAGATCTGTAATTTCTTTAAATCAACATGATTTTTTCTGTCAAACAGCTAATCAGTTAGCATCAGTGGAGCCATAAAGTTGTTTTTTTTTAGAACATCGCAGGTCTCGGATGTAAATATCGACTTTCAGCCAGCCTGATTTCGATTCAGAGCATGAAAATAGGATTACATATCTTCATCCAGTGAGTAAAGTAGCCCAATGTGCGGATAATACACAGCGGATCATCAATTCCAACTCCCAATGCTTCATCAGTCAATAGGCTGTTAATGGGTCATCAATTCAAAAGCTGCTTTGGCTTTACGAACATTAGCAGGACCAATGAGAGTGTGTCCGCTTCACATCCAAGCTCAACAGGAGAATGTGATGACTTCCTTTTATAGATATTTGTAGGAATGAGTGGAAACCTTGTGCACAATTGAAAATAGCAAACATAACAAAGGCACGCGGTGTTTGCAGGCATTTTGACCAGAGAGATTGCATATGCAAATCCATGCTTTTTGCATAGTTTTATGAATGTGGCTCCTGTCACTGACAGGTGTTTCCAGGGAAAAACGTCTTGCACACAGGAGGTGATGCTTTTACGTTGTCAAAGATCAAATCTAACAAAATAATTGAGGATAGTTGAGAATTAAAGTGAGCCACCAACTCAAACTTAAAGGACAGAAGGCAAGTGAAGAGCTGCACTATGGGCTGCAGTACACAGCGATCTCTGGGAAGTATAGTGCAGAAGCACCACAAGAATAAGTGCTCGGCCTCAAACGGAGACATTACACTAAAAGCAGGAGTTGCATACTTATTTAGAGAAATGCTCTGAGACATATTTAGACATGTTATGCTTAAAGTCACGTTTGCCAGTAGAGGAAAGAGTTGAGCAGACAGCCTCAGGATATTCTGCACATGCATATAAACAAGCTCTGTATATGCAAATAGCAGAGCAAAGACTGTAGGCCAAGGTTTAATTAAAGACTTTCTGAAGCTCAAAAGGAGTACACGTCTCCAATTCTCAGTCAGTGAAGCAGCTCTGGAAACTTAAGCACTTGTTCTGTGTCTGCTTTTTGCTGGTAAGATCTACAAGCACTTACTCAACTTTTTAATTTAACAAACTGTTTCCTTTTTACCCAGTATTACTACTAAACGTCAAACACTTTTGCCTATCTCTGCATCTCAGGGTCTAAATTCTAAGTATTTGCAACTTCTAGCGAGTTACTGCAGCTGAGTACTCCTTTCAAAGATAAACTTGTGCGTCAGCTGACTTCTCAGAAACTGTTGCTTTTTTTAAAATGAATGGGCGGGCTGTTGCTACGGGGAAGTGGAGAGGCTCACAACCAATGCTCTGACAGGGCCGTTCCCCGAAGCTCCAATTACAAGTACAACTGCAACAGGCTGCTTCTGTATGAAGAAAACATGTTTGAGCAATGATATCCAACTCTGAAACTAAATTTACTTTAAGTTTTCTTTAGAAATTCTCAAATGTGTCAAAACAGACTTCCTTGTTTGAACTGCCAGAAAAATCCACACCCCCAAAAGGGAACCAAAAGAGAACCACTTAATTTCTTTGGAATCCAAGTTTGGTTGCATAATGAACAGGAACTGAATAGGTTATCTGAGCAGAGCTTTGCAGGTCTAAGTTCTGAATCACTCTTTTACTTGTGGGCTGGGCAGAATATAATGTGAAGTATGTGTGCAGACAATAGTTTGGAAAGCACTCCTTAAAAACTATCCCACAACAGGAATGTGTTCACCTGCTTATGTGTTTTCTCAAGGTGTACAAGCTGCACTACTCTGCAGAGGCTGCAACAGGTGATTTACACTTTTAAACAAAACAGCAGCTGGAAAATGTAAAAGAAATGTGCAATAAAGTGGAGAACAAAAACATTCTTGTGAGCTCTGTAGGTTTCTTGAAAGAACCATGTCTGACCACTTCCTCATAAAAAAAAAAAAAAAAAAAAAAAAAGTTTTTCTTTCGCTGTGAAAGACAACGGACAACCCAAACCGTGACCACAATGAGAATGTAGAAAATCTACCAACAGGCCGGTTGCCATAGCCAACCACAAGTTTCATTTTCAGTTTGATATACATTATTTAGCCCTGAAAGGATGAAGAAAATTTAAAGTGGTGTAAAAAATGTCTGGCATTTCCGTAGTTAAACATTACCCAAAATTCACTAGTTTCTCTATGTGTAGACCTGATGCCAACCAAAAACCAGCTAATATAACACACTCCTCCATACAGATACATTAAATGCAAACATTAAGGCTTTAAAACTCTAGGTAGAAGAGAAAGTAATACATGCATATGCACTTTAAATAATGTATTGCTCCAATGAACTAGTTACCAACATCAAGGTTGTTCAAAGACCAAGGGTGCTTTGCATATTCAGCCCCAAGACACTGCAGTGCAGTCTGTTTTCTGCACTCCCAATACACTTGTGTATGGTGCAAACCGCTCTAGAAAATTGCCTCAGCCTCAATTCCCCATTGTGTAGCAGCCTGTTCTTCACAATGAACTGTGCAGGGGTAACCAGGGTGGTGGCTAACATCATTAGCCACAGGAGAGGACACAGGGAGGTCTGCTGTGGATCATCACCATGGAGAGGCTCTACTCCATTTCCTCCTAAGACCTCGATGAGTGTTGTTTGTCCTGTAACCCGAGACAACGGGGAGGATCTGAACAAACAAGGGCGCAGCCACACATCACCACCAAGGATTCCCCTGCTAGAGGCTTCATGTGGTCTACATTAAGATTTGGAGGTATTAAAATGACATTCAGACAACTATTAAGTGCAAAAATATTTCTGTATTTCCAGATGTATGTTACAAGCAGTTACAGTACAGTGGAACAGGATTTAACTATGGTCTAGCAGAGTCTAGAAACCTTCCTTACAACCATTTTAGAAATGTAAGCATGTAAAGAGAAAATGGCTGTAATTTTGCATTAAAAAAAAAAAAAAAAAAAAAGAAGCAAAAACTCAGACAACGCTCAAGCGACACATTAAGACAAAGTACCCAGTCAAAATCAATGTATTTGTTTAAAGTCCCCAGTTTCTAGGTAGCCTTCCAACCCAGGAAATAGAGTGGTACACAATTTTGAACTCTTTAACCCCAGTTTCACAATATAGCTTGTGCTGGTGCATTCAGATGTTATGCACCAGCTTTGCAAAGAACTGTGCAACTCGGCGGATGCAGCTGAGCGCTTAGTGTGATGGAGGCGCTGCTGCAGTCTCATCAAATTTCGAGGAAACAGCAGCCTAGGCCGTCTTGGGTTGTGGCGTGAATAAACATAAAAAAAAAAAAAAAGGAGGTTGACAAGTGCAGAAGGCGTTAAGTTGAAAGCGAGGAAACATATCAGCATAACAGAACTGGGTTCGGGGTGTACATGTAAGCTCTGGCTTTAGCAAAGATTCCCTGAACCAATATCAAAAAGGTCAAACCATGTGAATTTTTTTTTTTTTGTTTTTCTTCAAGCTTACAAGCTGGATATGAACTTTTCTTTTTTTTTAATCATTGTCATTATATGGAGGTCTGACTACTTTCAGCTTTGGGGCACTCAATTGACACAATCTGCTTCTTCCATACTCAGTCCAGGTTCATTTCATCCAAAAACAGACTCCAAACATTTTCCAGGCGCCTGTTCAGTCAAAAGTCCTGCAACGTGGATTGCTCACGTCTCCTACTGCACATCCAACATTTTCATCGCAAGGAAGCAGAGCTACACTCATGCAAATCCACCCCCCTATCTCCTCTAACATGGTTGAGGTGTCCATACATAAGACCCAGGAGTTATGAATGAATGGGCTATTTGGAAATGGGCTTCATACATGGAAAAAAATGCAGCTTCCCCTTACTGTTTTGGCATGGGTGGGGCCAATACAGCCAGGGAATTCTATAATAACACAGAACCATAATCAAGGAAAATCAGGTCAACTGACTGCCCATTTTTGCATAGATACATACATTTTTACATTTATTTAGAAAAATAAATTTATTTAAAATTAAATAAAACCTAATTGTTTGAAAGGTGACGTATGCTGGTAATGTCCTTTCAGATCAACTTATTTTGTAGTTGTGTGCGTGGGCTGGGGGGGTGGATAGGAGGAGAAAAAGGACACGATGTGGTCCCCCTTGTCAGCCGTGATCTTCAATGCAATGTAAAAACTTGATGCTCATGACAAAGTCTCTGTCTCGAATGTCCATTAAATTCACCTGATCAACAGGGCCAGTGTCGCCCCGATACCGGCAAATCCAGCAAAGGCCATGAGTGTGTTCCTCACTGTGGACTCCGGGTCTGCTACTCGAAAGAACTCGACAAAGCCATCCTAGAATAAGAGGAATAATTAGAGGGGGAACCTGAGGGCAAGCTACAGGCATTCACTGAACACGTATGCTCTTGTTGCACAATGGAGAGCTGTTATGCAACCAATACTTTGTTTTTCTTTTTCTACATCCGGTCATTCAGCTTATTAGACATGGTTCCTCACCCAAGAGTTGTTCTTGACCAGCCAGTCCCGCTGGTGCGTCAGCAGGTACGAGGAGATCTCCTGTCCCACCAGCTCCACACAGTTGCCCCTGCCCTTCTCCGTCAGGTACTGAGACACCACCGCTCCAAAGGCAACCAGGCTGGCAACACGACCCCAGTTGGTGGTTCCATCTGCAAAGAGGCTCTTTGCTACCGCCCCGACAAAGCTTGCATCGTCCTCCCTTTCATCTAATGACAGTTTTCTGATCATACCTAGATATAAAAAAAATAAAAATAAAAAAAAAATCATTGTTTGTACATTTAAAGAAAAAATTTTTTGAGAAAAAAAAAAAAAAAAAAAACACACACAACTTATCCACTTAAACTTAATTTAACTATTAAAGTGGATGACTGCTGCCTTCTAGTTAACTTATGTAGTTTTAAAATGGCTCCCACAGGTCAGAGCAGCATTAAACCCCAGCCTGTAACATAAAGGCACACACACACACACACACACACACACACACACACACAGGCGTCAGTACATACCATTGTACGCGTATCTGTGTTTCTCCAAAACGCCATCCACAACTCTTTTCATCGTTGCTAGTGCTTTGCTTTCGTTCCACCGAGATTTAGAAAGTCCAGTAAAGTCTCTCAGGAAACAGTCAATGAGTTGCGTCGTTTCACTGTTCAACACTTCGTCCCCCGCTGGACACCCGGAGACGTCGATTTCAGTGTCCGAGAGGAGCTCCGGGGTGCACGGCAGAGAGCCGTCCTCGACGTCGTCGCTGACCCCGCGAATGGCTTTTGTTAAATACCCATTAGTCGGACTCACTCCCAGGTTCTTTGGCCGTTTCGGGGCGTCGCTGGAGCCGACACTCCCGTTGTGAGAGGCTAGAGAAGAGCCCATTGCGATCTGAGGGGATGAATCTCCTGGTCCGTAGTGCATGTGTCCGTCGACGCCTCCATTTTGAGTGAGAAATACGCTCATGTTTCCGTTCGTTAGGCTGTAGGCGGCCCGATTTGTCTGAATTATATTCATCTTAAATATTTAGCTTGGTAGTAAGGCGTTTGTTTACTGGTTGAGGGAGAAAAATAAGGCTCAAATAGAGAATGGCGGCTAGCCCCTATGAAACAAAAAGCTAGCGTTGGCCGTTAAATTTACACATCCTCCATTGCAGGGTGGCTACAGACGAATGAGGAAGTCTGCTCTCTTTATCGACTTTTGTCCTAACGTCTGGTACACACGTCATCGAGCGTCATTACGTTTCGTTACGTAAAAAAAAAAAAACCCACACAGAGGGGAACATCCGCTGTTTATGTTTGTTTATGTTGAAAAAAAAAAAAAGGGAAGCTCAAAATATACATTTGTGGGTCACTGGGTGTTTTTCCATGACATCAAATAATATTAGTGCCCAATGTAGACCAGGGGAGCACGAATTAGAATAATGTCTCAGATACTATTATTAACATTAATAATAAAGATAACATAACAATAATACACCCGTTTCTGGAGGAGTGTAATCTATTTTATTTTATTTTATTTTAATAAGTGCAGTTAAAACTAATAGATTTTTCCCTTTTACACCACAGTATATATATATATATATTTTTTTTTAAATTTGAAGTAGTGTCGGTTGGCTTAAGTAAAGTCATTTGATCAGTTTTTGATAAATGAGTGTAACTGATGTTCTTCTGACACTGATCCTGGACGGATGAAGAGAAAGCAGCCCTGTCTGTGGCCTGCTGGGATGTGTCCTTTATTTACTGCAGTAAATCACAAAAAGGTGCCATATGACTGAAAGGTTTAACCACTCCATACTGCACCAAAGCACACATAACCTTTATTTTAGCACATGAGGGCATAGCGACACATTTCCGAAAATGTAATAACAGCAGGGTTCCAGTCTGTGCGACATTACCCACGATGCCTTGTAACACAAGTAGAACTTTCCACTCTTTTTCAGGCCATGCTTGAAAAAACCAGAAATTTCTGTTCTCTACGAGAAGGCCACGTTAGACAAATGACTGTGCTTCCCCCTAGTGGCCAATGGGAGGTTGTACTTCCAGCACCTCGCCATTACAGTTTAACTTGGGTCTTTTTCTCATTAGAGTATGTGTGTGTGCAGGGCAGGGGGAGTACAGCAGAGACATCACTTAAAAACAACAAGGAGATATTATTAATGTAAAAGTTTATTTCAAATACTGACAAAAATCCTCTCACCTACTCCCACACAACTGAAACATTCCAAGTACTCCTGTACTTTCTGAAGTCTTAAAATCATTCCTGTGTTCTCCAGTCATCCTATTTATCATGTAAACCCTTTTTTTTATTTATTTTTTTTTCTTCTTGGAAGCAAGGGTGCCTCTGATTTCCCTGCAGTTACCTCGGGCCAGGATGAAATATACCAGTTATGAGAGAAGAGAACACAAGAAAAAAAAAAAAAAAAAAAAGAAAAAAGAAACATTTACTTGCAAAACAACAACAAAACAGATAAGGTAAAAGCAGCACAAAAGTACTTCAGAGCACACAGCCTGTCATTTCTTTATACATTCTGGCACGTGTTTATCATAGCTGAACGAGAGACACCCTGTGTGTTGGGTCCGAAACGTACCCTGCTATTTCCTCTCGCTGAACCGCTCCGTGCAAAGCCAAACATCAAGTAGCGTTCAAGAACTCCTGCCCACTGTTGTTTCATAGAACATGTTGTAGCTTATTCGCCCATTTCTTTTAACATTCTTTACTTCTTAAAGCAGGAAACTGTAGGCTTATAAACACAGTATGATGCTAAATGGTCAGTGCATGTCAATCAAAGTGACATAAAGCATTCCAGAAGTTTCTTTTAAGCTCTGGCCGGACCAAAAGTTGGATCAAATTCAACAATACACCATCACAATTTTGTGGTAGAAGTTACATTGAGGTTTACCACAGTCTCAACTGAATGGACTTTGCCACGAGAGCTATAGGACTCTGAAACATAGATACTTGGGGAGATGAGAGTCGGACTGGTAGAATCAAGAGGACTGGTGTTCTTTACAGGGTATCATCTCTTAGATTTGTCTTTGACTGAATCAGCAGCATTTACACATATTTTCATATGATACAGATTCACATAGCCTCTGCAATTCACTTAGATAAAGCAGAAGTAGTGTTACACTAAAAGGAGAGAGGAACCATTGAATCAGAAAATAGCTCAGGCTATGAAAGAGTGAAAAGCAGGTGGGAAACAACACAAAAATCCCTTCCTGTTGAAGTCTATTTACAATGGCTGGAACAGAGAAAAGCAGTGCATTCATACAAACACCATAACAAGCACATACGTACAGGTCAGTTCTCTTTCACCCACTGCAAATTTGACACTTTTTTTTAAAGTCAATGAAAAACAAGTGAGGTTGAGTAATGTAATGGTGCATGCACCCTATCACCTAGCCTACATGGTGGAGTGTGCGTTTGTGAAGGTTCCCTGAAGCAGTATTATACAAGGAGGCTGATTCTCAAGAGAGCGCCGGCATCCAGTTCAGATTCTTGAATGTGTGGACGCCACGCATTCAAAGTCTGCACATTTGTTGATCGCACCTTTTTCGCCTCTTTGAGAGGTGGAACCACATTAACGGGTGGGACTGGAGCACAGAGCACAGGCTCACACTTTGCTCCCCTCACCATGTGTTATAAAATCTCTCTCTGCTTTGCCAAGTGCTGGAGTGAGCGTATCTTGTAGGCACGCAGTGTCCCACTTTAGGCCTGCGATGACGATCTTGGGAGCTGGGCTGGGCACCTGTGGTTATCAGGTTGCCTGCTGTTTACCCTCTGACACCCCTGAGATCAAAGATCAGTCTGTGTAGTGTGTCAGTTTGGGAAGAAAAAAACGTTCTACGGGGCACTGGTAGTAGAAGTAGGTCTATACTCCAGCTAAGGTTGTAGGGAAGGAAAGTAGTACTATTCTTGTACTAAAGTTAGTGTTTCACAACGGCAAGGTGTGAAGGGAACTACTACATCGGACTGTGACACTGGGATATTCAGAAAGTGCTAAAACATTGAGAGAATGATCTCTCGTAACAAAATGAGAAATTCACTTTTTTTTTTTAGCTTTAACAAACAGCTAAATGAGAATAATTCTTCTGGCTGGTTCCAAATGTCTGAAAACAATTTTCACTGCACATGTGGCATTATGGGACACAGCTATGAAGGCTATGATTGTGGTTACTTTCGTCTTTTCGATGGGACTGTGATTGAATATGCTCATGTGTGACACTGAAATGCTAACTTTTAGCAGTGTCTGGATCTGTGATTCAGAGATGACAAGAAAGTCAGTAAATGTCTGTGATGGTGGATAAATAACATTTCATGCCTCCATGGAGACCCAAGCACAGTGTGAGCCAGATCAGCTTGGGCTAGTCTGCCTCATCACATCACAATGTGAGCCAGATGATTAGATGGTAACAGTCGCATTGGAAAGACAAGGGTACCCGCGGCCTCTGAGCCGGATCGCTGCAGTGTGACATTTGGCTCAGCTGGTAAAGCACAGAATTTCCAAGCCAGAAATCCCAGGATGTAATTCCAAGTGAGTCGATTTAGCACTACCATTTCTCTCAGGCATGTTAGCTGGTCTGGTCCTCAAAGCGCCAAGCTTATCACGAATTACGTGCTTGTCTGAGTATTATTTACAGAAGCATATACTCTATGCAGGGTGCTTCAATCCCCCCACAAATCTTTTAGGCTCATAGTAAACACACGTCTTGATGCAACTCAACAGCAACCAAACTAAGACTGAACTCGGAGACTGGCAGGGTTCCCAGCCATTTAAAATAATACAAGGATATAGTCAGCTGGCTCTTACGCTGGGCCCCTAACTGGAGCGTGTGTACATGGATTGTCAGGACAGCAAACAGGAAAGGAGGGAAGGAAGTGTGACTATGGACGTTTGAGGGCTTTGTGTGTTTGTTTTGATACTTCCTATCACTAAGCAGATGCCCCACTCCCGTTAAAAACATGTTAAATTCCTTTTTTTGTTACATGTTACAATCATGCAGCATATTTAGAGAGAACAGGAGCAAAGGGAGTCAAGAATTAAAGCAACATGAGCAGAGAGAGGGAAAAAAAAAAAAAAACAGGTGGCGGTTCAAATCCCTGTTTGGCTGAGCTGCAGCAGATGACCTCGGATTTTGTTCGACGAAAAGTGACCAAAGGATGAGACTAAAGGAAGCCTCCATTCACTTCCTCCATTTCCCAACATGGTGTCAGTGAATGCTAAAGAACTCTTAAACTAGGCAGCTTCCCCTCACAGATTTGGTACGCAAGCAATTGTTCACATACATCTTCTAACCCCTCCCGCCGACGCCAGCCACCAGCATAGATAGGGAACGTAAAAATCAACAAACGCGCTGCGATCATGGTTCCTAACTCCCTCACACGCATTTTGGTGTCATTTAGGATGCAAAAAAAAGAACAAAGCATACTATAGAGACTACAAAGTGCATTAACTCACCCCATCCAACCCCTGCCCGATGACACACACCTACTGTGATGCATCTTGGAACACCGAAAACCAAGACATAAGGGAGGCGGTAGAGCAGAGTGCGCAGAGTGGGCAGAGCTGTGCGTGGTGGGGAGGCAGAGAAGGCTGTGACCTTGAGGGCCGCCTAAACCTCCATCCCTCCCACCCCGCCCCACCCACATACAAGCAAATGGAGTTTTAACTTATACAACTCTGCCCGACATGTTAAAGCCTGTGGTGCCTGGGGATGAAAAGGGAAGAGAGGGGAGGGGATGGACATATTTGGGACATGGGTGAGGAGGAGGAGGAGGAGGAGGAGGAGGAGGGACATTTGCCGGGAGTCCCAGGGGGGTGAGGGTGCTTCTGGGATGGTGGAGGCTAGCCGGCTAGCTTGCTTGTCACCAAGGACGACTTCCTCTGGGGCAGGTCCTGCGGCGTGGGAATGTGGTCGCCAGTCACCAGGTTCTTGTCGGGCCCCGCCACAGGAAGCTGCTTGTTCTTCATCTTGGCCTTGGCCATGTTGTAGTCGCCCGAGTCGAAGTACTTTTGCTGTGTGAGAAAAGAGATAAGAGATGCTCACAGATGTTTACTGGTTCAAATAAGCAAAGAAAGACATGGGAAGACAACATGGATCTGACAGATGTATGTCTGTCATAAAACAATACTCACATTCCCATATGTACAGTTACAGATGTGAATTATCAGTCCCTGCA